TGTTTAAAATAAATCTGTTCATTTCAAGAAAAAAAAAACACACACACAGCCACTCTTTCTTCTGGAATCCACACTTTGAATCTCATGAAAAGCTCTGGTTAACTATGCTTCTAATATATACTCAGTTCTTCAGCCTATCAATAGTGTCCACGGATATACTCAGATCCAAGCACTGTAGTTGACAGTCCAAACAAGATCACATGAATTGGGAAGTGGAGTTTAGCCTGGCGCCTTAGACCACTCAGCCATCCTGACACTGACCACATGAAATAGGAGAAGAATTTCCCAAAAGGAACATGAGAAGGAGTACAGACAAGTGGTCTTCATGAACAAAAACAGCCCATGCGACCTTGTTAGAGTTGTCATGAGACAATGAATTTAAAAAGTTTAGCAAGATGTTTTATTATCAACCAATATTAATTACCATAATGATAGATAAATGGATATATTAATAGGTGGATAGTGGTGAGATGGTAAATGGAGATAAAGATACGATAGGAAAAGAAAGATGGAAGAAGAAAGAATAGGCTGATGAAGAGACAATAGGTAAACATACAGACGCACAGATGGATGGATGAATGGGGCAGAAAACAAGACATACAGTTAAATTTACCACATCATATAACTCAGGGCAGGGAATGGGAAACAAAACAGCACCTCACAATAGTCTATCCTAAAAGGTTTCCTCCCCTGGTCTGTCTTGGGTATTGCAGAACAGTTCTCTGCCTGAACTTGGACAGAGCCAGTCCCACTTTTTGCATCACATTTCCTCACTTACAGTTATTCTCAAGAATAACCATAGATGGGAATGCAACCCTTTAAGTGGGAGCTGAAACAGACTAGGTTTCTTTCTAGTGCCCTTCAGAAATAGCCCTTCCATGCTACAGCCTAGTAAATCACATTATCCCAGGTTACAAAATCCAGTATGAGCTATTCCCAGGTTCTTTCAGCTACAGTGCAAGCAGAGAATAGGTGAGTAAGAGACTTCATCTGCCCTGGGCAGTTTTCTTGAACCTTAACCACCTTAAGAGACATGGTTCACAATGATCCTAGTCCTTTGTTGTCCTTTGCTGCTTAATCTATAAGACTTAACAACACACTTCATGTTATACATAAATATGTTCTCAATGGACTCAGTCAAGCTCGTAACCAGTGTGTAGTGAGCCAGGTTCACAGATCTCCCTCGCCTCTACTTTCCTTTCCTGTGAACTGAGCAGCTCTTACTCTGAAATCCCTCTAATTCCCAGGATAGGAAGGGTGTGGTAGTAAGGGTGCTCTAGGTAAGATTCCCCTCTAGATATTCCCCTGACCACTATGGGATATAAAAGAATGGAGGAGAGGATTGCCATCACTGTCCTAGGTCAAATATGTATTTAATTCACCTTCACCTAACTCGCTAAACACCCTCACTTAGCTATATAGTACACTGTAGTTTTGGATACCTAGATATACGTGATGATCACCTAACTGATTGGGAGTTGTGGTTCACTGCCCAGCATCTCAAAAATGTAAACCAGGAATGGTGGTACACACCTGTAATCCCAGTACTCAGAAAGCTGACACAAGAAGACTGTGAATTCAGGAGCAGCCTGAACTACATAATGAGTTCAAGGCCAGCCTGAACTACACAGTGACACCTTGTCTCAAAAAAAATCAAAACAAAAGAAGTATTGTACTACATATCACAGGTCTGGAAAAAGACAAAAATTTGAAGTATGCTTGATACTGAATGTATAACCTATCACTGTAACATGGTAAGGGCAAAAAATCCCAAGGCAAACCATCCTAAATCAGAGATCATGTCTCTACTTGGGAAATTTCTAAGGTTTAGTCTTTTCAAGAACCAGGGACAGGGGGCCTGCCCCTCAGCTCAGTTGTTTAAGTGGCTGCTTCAACAAAGCCGTCAGGCTCAGGTTGCTGTGGTTCGATCCCCACAACTCAAGCCAGCCAGTCATACCTTGAAGGCATTCGGAGAAAACAAAAAAACAAAAAACACTTCTGCCATTTTGGGGGGGCCTGGCCCTAGCTCAGTCTTTTAAGTGGCTGCTTCCACAAAGCTGTCAGCCTCAGGTTGCTGGAGTTCGAACCTCACAACTCTCCGGCTGGCCAAAAGTGCCCTGAAGGCATTCGAGGAACCAAAAAAAAAAAAAAAAAGAACCAGGGACAAATGCCAGTCAAAGACTTTAACATACACCAGAAAGAAGGGAAAAGTCCAGCCAAGTTATTTATTATACACTTGAAGGAAGAGTTTCTGGGCACGTAAAATGAAAACTTCAGGGGCTGTGAACAGGAAACAGTTGTAACCTCCCACAGGCTTATACACTGTTATGGTCTATGACTAGTTATTCCCCCAAAGCCTCATGTAATCATGGGGCAGACTTCGAGACTTTGTGATTAACTCATGATCCACTGGGATTATGAGTGTGAATACTACATCCAGCCTGGAGCAGATAGCCTGAATGAAACTTAAGGGGGACAGACTTTCTCTCTGTAGCCATTGTTGCTGCTACTCCTCCCATCTGCTGTTTTGTTCTTTGCAGCCTCCACGAACCAATCTGCCTTGGAGCCAACCAATTATGGACTGAAACCTCCATTAACTGTGAGCTAAATAAACCTTTCCTTCCTTTTGAGTGTTGGGTATTTGTTCCACCAATGAGAGAATAACTGAGACACATACACACTCACTAGAGACTCCCTCATTCTCAGATCATTCTCCTGCTCTCTCCCAGAGCTAACCTCACACACAGTACCATCCAAGCAGGACTCTCACACATCCACAAACACTTGCTGCCCCAGATTCTGGCCAACTATTCTTCTCCTGCATCTCCCATGGCTTCACATGGCATCAACCCTCTCCCAAGGGCACTGATGTTCTCTCATCAGCATAGGGATAAAATGAAAGAAGGACTTAAACATAAAGGGAGAGGTACTGTGAGGATCACAGCACAGATCTTGGGCAGGAAACTGAGTTCATGTCAACATCCAAGGCTGAGAAGGAACCAGACTGGGCATATGTTTAAATGGCTGTGCCCTTTGGTAACTGTATGTTCTTGCATGATATATGCACACCTGTACATTGTGTGTATGCCCACCCCTCCACTCTGAGCGAAATCAAAATTCTGAGGATTCTGTTTTTTAGTGCTACATCCCTGGCTGGAACTGAGGAGGTCTTTGTGCAGTGTCATAGCCTTAATGATGCTTGCTCCTCTACTCACTTGCACTGTCCTCTCCTTCCTCTGGGAAGCCAGGCTAGAAAAGACAGGTTCCTGTGGAGACCAGAGCAGCTAGAGGCATGGACACACATCTATCATGCAAGTTGCACACATGGGACACAGGCATACCCACCCCACTCAAGCACACACCTACATTACACAGGCATATACACAATGCAAGGGTGTATACACATCATTCAGGAACATAAAGTCACCAAAGGGCACTTACTTCTGGAGAAAGTGTGTGGTATCTTCTGCTACCTCCTTCTCAAGGATGACCGCATAGAGAAGTTCCAATTTCCTCCCTCCTGTAACCCAGCTTCCACACACCCTCCATATTCTTTGCCTCTTTCCAGGTCCTCCCTCAAGAGTCTCTAAAACAACTTCCTAGATATGGTCCCCATCTTCTGCCCCTCACACTAGAGCCTTCCAGGAAGCTGGGTTCCATGGTCCCATTTTACCTAACTCCTCATTCACTACACTGACAGGACACAAGCTCAGTGCACCTCTAGACAGGTGTGGATGTACCACATCATCCAGACCCTGAAGAAGTCCCCTGCCAAGTCTGGGCCCTACCTCAAACCTCCAAGATTGCAGCCCATGACTATGCCTCTCCTCTTCCCTCAGGGCAAATGCCACAGCAGTTAGCCCCTGACAGCACCAGAGGGAGCTCTGCATCTGAGAGAAAGAACAGGAATCACCCTGGCCTGGGGAACCAAGGACCAGAAGGAGGACCGGGCCTCCAGCTACTCTGCACCAGACCTAACCCAGCCAGGACAGGGTCTGGAGGGTCAATGTAAATGTCAGTATGAGTATGAGTTCAAGGGAGAGAGTAGGTGTGGCAAAAGCCCAACCTCTCCATATCCAGATTGTAAAGCTTCTAAGAAAGCCATTTGAAACCTATGGATCTGTCCACTGATTTCATGGCTCAAGCTAGGACAGACAGATAAGAAAAAAGAGGGTGCAGTGAGGGGCACGGTAGGAGTATCCATTCTTCCCATTCAGCCAGAAAAAATTTTCATCCCACCTATTTGTCACTCTGTCCCATACAGTCAGTCCAGCCACACACACACACACCCTGTCTGAGTACTGCACCTTGGCTAGTTATTTCCAACCCCATACACTAGGCTAATTGCCTTTTATTGGCTCTGGTGTTGCACTCTCTACCCCTGCCCAGGCCAGTCTGCTGTTTATTGAAACATACTGGTTGTCCTCTTTTGATCCTCTGTCTTTACCCCACCTCATAAGCTCTTTATGAGGGTAGAGACTGCTTGTCTATTATATCTCTGTGTCCACATCAGTACCTGATTGAATGACTGGCCTGAGCTCAAAAATGGAAAGGCAGTGACATTCTGACCATTAAGTGACTTGGCCAAGGCCACTCAACTAACAAATATTTCTATAACCCAGCCTGCTCTGAACTGAATTCTTGGAAAAGGGGGCAGGGTGTTATTCCTTCTCAATCCAAGGTCATACAAGGGGAGCAGGGTGGACAAGAAAGGCAATTGGCAGGTCAGAAGCCAAGGAGTGATGGGGAGGGAGCAGGAAAAATAGCACTGGGCAGAGTCCCAGAGCTCTTTTATTACTGCCTGGCGCTCAGGCCTCAGCCTCCCAGGATGTAGCGCCAAAATCTGTTCCATCCCTATAAAAGAGGGTCCTGTGCCCTCCCGATTTAATAAATCCTGAAAGGCATTGGCTCCGCCTTTTTGATGACATTTTGACCCCTCCCCCTGGAGAGGCTGACTCCGCCTCTTCCGGGTGATAGGCAAGCCCCACCCCTAGTACGTGAGGCCTCCCTGTGACGTAATAGCAACTGCCCGTTTCCGGGGAGGAGCCAGAGAGGGCGGGAGTTTAGGCGGCGCCAACCCCTCAGCCCCCCTTCAGGTGACCCCCCAGCCCCTGCAAATCTTCACCCAGAGCCCCAAATCTCCCTGCTCCTTGACTACCAAACTCTTGGCCTGGCCCCTCTACACATCCCCGACCCCCGAAAAGCCTTGATTTGTAATGCTTCCCAAATCTTCAATCCCACCCCCTCCCTAGTGGATTGACTTCGGGGAGGGGGGTGGGGGGGACCTGCCTCAGATTACCTGATACCTAGACCTGACCTGGGAAGGCCGGAGAAGGGGACCCGGGGCTAGGGAATATTTGGTCCAACCATGCCGCTCCCCAGGAGACAGTCGGAACCCAGGACATGCCGGGACTGAGGAGATACGAGGTGGCGCTGGAGTCGGAGGAGGAGTGAGTGGAGGCGGGCTTCTGCGGAGGTGGACTCGGGACGCTCAGGGTGGGGGAGGGCGCGCACCCTCGGGGAAGAGGGGCGGGGCCCTCAGGGGCGTGGGCTAGGAATAGACCGCCTCTGCGGAGCGGGGCGGAGCCGTCGAGGGGCGGTGTCGGGGCGGGGTCTGTAGGTCAGCCCCGCCCCGCCCGGCCGCCCGGGGCTGCTCTGCCTCTCTCTTGCAGGATCTACTGGGGCTGTTTCTACTTTTTCCCCTGGCTGCGAATGTGGCGCAGGGACAGGAGGTGAGGGGGGCTGCGACCCTGCGGGCCAGATTGGGGCGTGGAGGAGGCTCAGTTTCGGAAGACTGATCGGGGAAATCTAGGCACCCCTTCCCTGCCTCATGCCAGTGCCGGGTCGCCTTACAGCTCAGCGCATCCCAGGGAGCAGAAGCTGGAGCCTCTGCGGGGCCTGATGAGCTGTCTGTCCAGCGGCCTGGGCCCTGGGCCCCAGCGCGCGGGTCGTGGCCTCCTCTGCCGCACACCCGCCACTGCTGTCCAGCCAGCTGGTGCATTAAAGATTTAAAGCCAAGCCCACAGTACTGCCTTCCTCACTGTGCCGCCTCTGCCGCCATTCTACCTGGGAGTCCCTCTTCACACCTGCTGCTTCCCTACTCTGAGGGCCTCTCTCCCTGGTAGGATGCCCTTCCAAGTCAGGACTCCTGACATTCTTAAGAGCCTCTCATCAATGTCAGGCTTCCTGTGGCTATCAATGACTGCCTCCCTGCCTTCTGCCCTCCTAACACTCCAGTGATTGTTAATAACCTACATGGAGACAAACTAATAATCCTGGTCTGATCTCCCTGTATACTTTATCCTCACATTTGTATGCTCTACACCCCTGTCACTCCTTCACCACCTTCCTCCTATCCAAGACTTTGACAAGTATCTGAAGAATATTACCTTCTTCAGAGTAAATCTAAAACACTAAGCCAAGTTGTAGGATGTAGACCATCATTGAAAAGAGGGGAAAATTCCCAGAACCGGCCTCCCATATCCTGTGTCTGAAGAGCACTGTGGGTTGGGGCTTTTCCTACAGTTAATATCCCAAGCTGCTTTCTCCAGTCTGATCCCAATTTTAGATGTATTTGCCCTCAGCCAACTGTGACATTTTTGCTCCTTCTCTAGAAGAGTACTGCTTCTTGCCAGCCCTTTTTGTCATGTCAGCTAATCAGCCAGAGACTCACTGACTCCTAAAGTGATGAGAGTCAGGGACTGCTATGTGTGCCTGCTTTCAGTTAAAGCTGGCTTGGGGAATTAAATTACAGAGACAGCCCAGTTTCTGGCTGGAGCCAATGTTGACTTTGAGCCTGGGGCTGCTCTTGCCACAACAGACTGTGGCTAGGGAAGACTTGACCTTATTTTTGGAGAAACTAAAGAGGAGAGATTTGTTTTCTACCTTCCAAAGGTCTCTGGACTGACAAGTCCAGGAAAGACTACAAAGTATGTGACAAGCAACCAGCTAATGGACAAGGTCTGTGACAAGATGATGGATCCTAGATCTCCTTGGAATATTCTTAGTAGACACACTCAAGCTCTGGAGGATATGTTCATATTGGGAGTGGAAGAGCAATCCTAAGGCCTGTGGTACCAAGAATTCTAAATGAATGATCTCTGTGGTCACTTTCAAGAAAGTCCCATCTTTTTACCTGTTTGTCTACTTTTTCAAATGTGGAATATTATATCCAACCCTGGGCCCACAGCTTACCAGGATACTGTCGAAGACTTGAAGATCCCTGGGATAATTCCAGAGAGGGACCTTCCAAAGGAGGAGGAGAGACCCAGGTTTTCAGCCTGGAAGGTGACTAGTCCCTACTATGGGAGCTGAAACCCCTCCTAAATGTGGAAGCACCCTGGCCACCGAGAGAAGGGAGAGAAAACTTAGGCCATATACAGAGTAACTGACCCCAGAGCAGAAGACTGAAGACACCCCTGCAACATTTAGAAAAGGCCTAGGTTATTGATGTATGACTTGGTTTGTGTTTCAAATACAGAGCAAGACTTGAAGATTACAATCTCCAGCCAGGAATGGAACACTCTGCAAGGAGCCTAGGCCACTGATCTAGAACATTTGCCTAGCCCGCCCCATCCTAGGTAGTTTCTGACTTTCCAGAAACAGCTGGATGAGGAGGGACACAAATGTTGCATTTGGACATGAGGAAGAAGGGAGATCTGGGTATGAGATTGGGATAGGAAGGAGGTCAAGTTGGAACTATAGCTGGAGGATGGATGCAGAAGGTATCAAGACTGGAAATGGGTATTACTGGAATGGGGAGGGGTGTAATTTGTCCAGTCCTATAATGAAAGGAGGCTGGAATTTAAAACAAAAGCAACATAACTTATTCTAAAGTCTGATATCTCTAACAAGCCAGGGACTGAATGTAGAGACTCCAGGCCCTTGCTAACAAACTTCTGTTCCTGGAACAGAGCTAGGCAAAAAAACAAGAAGGTAAGATTTCTTGTGCCTTCCACCAAATTTGACATCAGCCATCTGGCACCAAAGAGCTTGTATCTCCTTTCACAGACCTCACCTTATCTTTCCCTACTTCACCATCTCCAGGGGACCCACAAGACTAATGGAAAGTCACCTTCTTCTAGCTTCTCTGTAGCTGGTCCCAGCAAAGACCTCCCTTCAGCCAAAAGAACTTGTTTAGGGACCCATTCCCAACAATTTCTCCTGAAAGACAAGCAGGCCAGGGCATGAAGGCAAGTTAGTCCTGGCCTGGCCTGTTTCCACCCCATATGCAACTCGTGTCAAAATTTGTGTGCTGTATGCTTTTTTTTTTTTTTTTTTATCTGCAATAGCCCAATCATGAATGTGACTGAGGTTTTATTCATATGACTGAATATATGGCTATGGGAATATGAGTTTAAACATCTATTATTAGATGTTACTGAGGATCTCTAGTTATTACTGTACCTTCAGCACCCACATCATGTACTACCCTCTCGCCTGCTTCTCTGATGAGGGCTTAAGAGCCCATTAGAAATGATAGTCCTACAAGAAGTGGTCCATGGCAACAGGCCAGGAATTGAAGCTCAGGAATGTCACAAGATAAGCAGTACATCTCCACCTGTCTCTGACTCACTGATGCCCCAGGTAAAATGCACACAGATAAAAGGTATGGGAGAAGGAGCAGAGAGAAGCAAGCATCTCAGCTGAGAAGCATGAAGGAATTTGCCTCACCCATCAGCATCCTCATGCTGCTGCTATTACTCCTGAGCCCAGACCCTGGAGCAGGTAAGTACCTGGGGGATGTCTTGCACATGCCTGTAATCCCAGTACTTGGGTGCCTAAGGCAGGAGGATAACTGAGCTTAAGGCCAACCTAGGCTACATAGTGAGCTCATGGCCAACCTGAACTGCACCTTGAGACATGGTCTCAAGAAACAAAACAAAGGCTGGGGGTCTAGATGAATCAGATGAAAAGAGCTCAGGAAATTTAAACTTTGAGCTCTCTGATAGAGCAATTCTGGGCTGGACCCCTGTGAACATATGGCTCTGTTGTCCTGTAGCACTGCTACTGCCATCCGGCACCACCTGCTGTACTCAGCTCTACAGACAGCCACTCCCAAACAAGATATTGAGGAAGGTCATCCGAGTAGAGCTGCAAGTGGCTGATGAGGACTGTCACCTCCAAGCTTTTGTGTGAGCTCTGACCCCACTTTCAATATGTAACTCTGACCTCAGTCCCAACCCCTGGTGTTAATCCCAACCCCAGTTCCAACTTCTAATTCTGATGCTGGCTCCAACTTTCATCTGTCCCTTCCCCCAACCCCTGGACCTTAATGTTCTCTTTGAGGTGTGGGCATAGCTTTGGACCTTTCCCTTCCCAGGCTTCACCTGGCTCGACGCAGTGTCTGCATCCATCCCCAGAATCGCAGCCTGACTCGGTGGTTTGAGCGCCAAGGGAAAAGACTCCAGGGGACTCTGCCCATCCTGAATCCGGGGCTGTAAGGAGAAATAGTCTGGAGCTTCCAACACCCAAAATAATAAAGCATCATTAGACATAATCTCAGAGTATGATCTCTAAGAACTTCCTAGTTCTCTTTATTTTGCATCTTCACAGCACCTGCAAGAGGCAAGGCCAAGAGCCAAGGACTCACACATACTCCCCAGACACCTACACACATACATATATGCAAAGAACACATGTTCTATACCTTACAGACACAGTCACACATAGACACAGACATACACATGTATAAACATCCTTCAGGTGGACTTCAGCTCTCAGATGAAGTCAGAGGTCCATATACTTTCCAGCTGGCAAGTTTGAAATACAGTCTCAAAGAAATGGGCTCCACAGAACTTCCAGCTGAGAACTCCCATCCACAGGGATCGGTTGCCCTGCCTGGTTGTATCTGTCCATCCATCCACACCAGCAAAACAGAGTTACAGGTGGAATCAGCTGAAGGTCTTGTGGGTCTTCTATAGGTCTGGAGTACCTACGAGAACAGGAGGCAAATGGTGAGAGACAGAACTAAGTTTTGACTCACATCTTGAAAATGAAGGGGGGAACCCAGTTCTGAGTCCAACACTCTGAGAAGAATTAAAGAACCCAACTTTGAGGGAACCCCAGAATACTAAGATGAGGAAGCAGATACAACTCTTGGCTTAGGTGTATCAGGCATGAAGTTTAAGCAAGGTGCAGTGGTGGACATCTGTACTCCCAGCTACTCAGGAGGCTGAGATAAGGGGATCACAAGTTCAAGACTAGCATGGGCAATTTAGCAAGGCCTGCTTCAAAAAGCTGGGGATATAGCTCAGTCGTAGTACACTTGCCGAGCATACAACTCCTTGGGATCCATTCTGAATACTGCTAAGGGATGGAGAGCTAGGGGAACAAACACTGGTCTAATAATCCCAGCACTTGGGAAGTTGAGACAGGAGAATCACTGTGAGTTCAAGGTCAATCTGGGCTAATGAGTTCAAGACCAGCCCAGCACAATGAGACCATATCTCAAACAACAACAAAACAAGTACTGGGACTACAAGTGGGACTACAAGTATGTGCTACGACACCTAGATCAGCTCTGAATCTTAATGCCCTGAAAATGAGAAAAGATTCTATCCAAAATCCCCAGTACTCTTTTCTCTCCGTAACCTGAGAGAAAAAGGAGAAGACTAGGGACTAAAGAATGAGAGGTGTAGGGCCCCAGCAGAGACATAAGAATGAGGAAATCCAACTCAGATTCCCAACATCTAAAAAATTTATGGGGTTGGGGAGATAGCTCAGTAGAATAAGTGCTTGCCTGGCAAGTTCAAGGTCATGAGTTCAATCCCCAGTACCGCCAAAAAAATAAATAAATAAATAAATAAAAATAAAAAATTTATGAAGGCATCTGGCTTTTAAGCCAGACAATCTCAAAATGATGGCATACATCACCAACTCTAACAGCTACTCACCTGGAAGCTTGTCGACTGGAATCATTGAGGCCAGGAAACCAGGCTTTTGGTGTGCATCCTTCCCGCCCCATCTCAGCCTTAGCCTATGGCATAAAAAGACAACTGTACCCCCAGCAACATAGGGGGTTACATACAGTCTTACATTGAGTCCAAAAACATCACACTAAGCTTTATCCCCAGCTCCTTTTTTTAACTTCTAATTTTCAGACAGTCTCACTATGTCACTACACTGCCCAGGCTGGGCTAAAAGTTGTGACCTTCCTGCTTCAGCCTCTCAAGAGTGCTGGAATCACAGGTGTATAGCTACACATTTGGTTCTAAGAGCATTTTTATTAGTAAAGGGTCAAGAGAGGGATCAGCATAAAAGTGGGGTATGAGGGATCAGGACGGGGAGAGTTCAGAATCAGAGAGGTTACTGGAAAGTTAGTGGGAAATCATGAGGGATGGGATGGATGTGGATTCTGTGAGGATCCGAGACTGAGGGACCAAGGACAGTCACTTACCAAAACCCCAGTGCAAGCGCCCCAGCTGCCAGTCCCAGGAAAGAGAAGATTCCCAAAGACACTAGCACAACCATCTGCTCCAGAGGGTCCCTATGATCTGAGACAGTCACATACCACTGAGAGGGTGAGCCTGATGTACTCCGTGCCCCCTTCTCTCTCCAGAGACAGCCTGTCCACTAGAGCCTCTCCCATCTTCCCAAGCTCACCCAGTGGCCACGGGTCTGGCTGCAAAGAAGGCCTTGGAGGACCTGTGCTGTCCGCCAGCTGTGTGTGAAGCTTGCCCGCATCAGGAATCTCATTTGTTAGGGACCCTGATGGGGGAGGTGAGACCTAAGAATAGTCCATTCACAGAAGGGGTTGGGGCAGGAGCCTGAGCTGGACGGAGGGGTCTTGCGGAGATGGAGCCTGAAAGACTACAGGCATTTGGGTAATGTGGCTTATAGAAGTAAAGCAGGCAGGGATGAGGCCAGGGCACGACTATAGGCCACCAAGGTTGAGGCCTGGAAGAGCAGTGCGGGGCATGTGCCACATGACTGCCGTCAGCAAAATGATCTAGGTGTTAGATGCTTAAGGCGAGGTCTCTGTTCTTTTCTTTGGCTTCTTTCTTACCAGTGCTTGGAGTTCCCCACACCTCTACACTCCAGGCGCTCCAGGTGCCTGCATCCAGAAAGTCCCTGGCACTGACCCGCACTGCATGAGGCAGCCCAGCCACGGCATCTGTGATCACCTCCTCCAAGCCAATGGGCTCCACCTAGGAGTGACAGGATGGTCTCTTGGTGCATTATCAGGGTGTAAGCACAGAGCCCACCCACAAAGTCTGCAAAGAGTTCCCCTTCTTCCCAGTGTCATCGCCCCTCAGCATGGTGGAAAGTCTAAGCCTTATGACTGGGTAGCTGGTGTGGTAGGATCTATACCTAGTGCTCAGAAGATGGTTGTTTGTTTTTGTTTGCTTGTAGACAATGTCTCAACTATGGAGTTAAGGCTGGCCTCAGATTCATTCAGATCCTCCTGCCTCAGCCTCCTAAGTAGTGCAGCTGCTATAGTTTAGATCTAAGGTATCCTCCAGAAGCCTCTTGTGTGTGGAAGGTGGCTGGATCATGGGGCACTGTGGCTAACTTGTTGTCATGAGGTGAGGCCTGGTCAGAAGAGATGGGTCACTGGAAGACTGGCCTAGAAAGGTGTATCTTCCCTCCCACTCCAGCTCCTCCCTTCTCTCTGCTCCCTGGCCGTCACAACACAGGCAGCTCTCCTCTGCTGTGCCTCTTGGCCAGGCCGTTTCTGCCTTGAAGCCTGTCAACCATGAACCAAAACTTGTGAAACTATGACCCTAAATGAACTTCTTCTCTTTAAGCCAGGTACAGCATCTCATCAACAACAAAAGTGACTATATAGTAGTGTGATTACTTGGAGGAGCTGTGGCATCAGTCTGTTTGGGCTCAACTCTTTGCCAAACTACTTACCAAAGAGACAAAAAAGAAACAAAAAAAGGAGGGGTATCTGGGTATGGTGGTGCACACCTGTAATGCCAGCACTTGGGAGGCTGAGGCAGGATTACTGTGAGTTCATGGTCAGCATGAATTATATAGCAAAACCCTGCCTCAGAAAGACAAAAACCAAAAACAAATAAACCACCTACTAGGTGAACTTTGTGCCTGTTTCTTCATTTGTAAAATATGGGTGAATACACCTGAACAAGATAATGCAGACAAAATATGTGACACTGTGCCTGGGAGACAGCACTAAGTGTGGCTTATGATCTGCTGCTGCTGTTGCTCCAAACTCAAGGCCAGCCAATTGTTGACATCTCCAGAGGTGGGAATTCACTGCTCTCCTCAGCTGGGTATGACTGTGTAAGAGGATGTGTATGTGGGAGAAAGGCACTCCTTTTTCTAGAAAAAAAAAATTTTTTTTCAGGGGCACTCTGTCTTCCTGAGGATGAGTTTACATCATTATAGCCCCATAGAACAGCACTGCAACCCAGCACCCAACCCAGTGCTTGTACAGGAAGCACTCTGAATAGGTCACCAGTGCTTGGAAGCTATGCAGAACACCCAGGCTCATAAAACCAAAAAAAGGACCCATAGCCTGAGGTTGTAAAACCATACCGTGGACCAGGCCGGATGCTGTGAAGGACGGTACTGCAGTCGGAACTTGAGCAGGAAGTGTGGTTGTTGAGGCCAGGAGGAAGGGTATGTCCAGCTGGCATGCAGGCGTCTTGGGTAACCAGGAACTGACTCCACTCGCAGGCCCTCTGGTGGGTCAGGGCGCACTGAGGGCAGCCAGATACAAAGTCAGGGGTGGCAACTGTTACCCAGCCCTTCCTCGCCATTTCCCAAGGCATGTACTGAAAGGCCCCCTTAGCCAGGTGCTTCCATGCAGCGTGGGAAATCCTAAACTTGATCATCTATTAGGCTCTGTCATCTTTACAAAATAAGCTGAGATCTCAGAGTAGTTTTTAAATGCTGCACACATAAAAGACCTTTTTTTCAGGGGGAAGGGGCAAATTGGCCCAAATTCCAGCTGAGGTGCTTTGCTTGTTTTGTGGTATTGGGACTAAACCCATGCTGCCTCACACATGCTAAGCAATCTCCATCACTAATCTCTCCATTCAGAGGCTGTCTTTTTTTAAAGATAGGATCTCACTGTAGAGTTCAGGCTGGCCTTGAACTATTATGTAGCCCAGGTTAGCCTCAAATTCATGGAGATCCTCCTACCTCAGCCTCCCAAGTGCTAGGATTACAAGTATGTGCCATCAAACCCAGCTCCCACCCTTCTTGTTTTATTCCCTTTTCATTTTTATTTTATTTAGCAGGGTCCTGCTAAATTTTCCAAACTGGAACTTATGATCCTCCTGCTTTAGCTTCCCAAATAGCTCAGATTAAAGGCATGGGCCACTCCAGCCCACTCCGCCCAAGTTTAGTTCCTCCTTCCCACACACAGATCAAGAGGAAGGAGTGTCCAGCAGGAGATACAGCTCCCTAGAGAGAGCACAGGCCCTAAAAGCAGGGAGTCAGCCCTCAGGCTAGGTAACTGAGAAGGGCCAGAGCATAAGGACAGTAGTCTCTAGTCTCCCATCCCTTTGAATGAGTCTACACTGTGTGGAGGCTACACTGGGAGCAGGGACACACTTGGGAGCTGAGCAGGGGTAGTGCTGAGACTGTCTGGGGTCCAAGGTAGGGCCTAGAAGTAGATACTCACAGATGTGCTGCAAGCTCACATCCAGCACACGACTGCTGGCCCCCAATGGGTTCACCTCAGTCACATTAATCCGGTACTGGCTCCAGAACTCTGCCCAATAGATAACACAGCGTGCAGCCCTTAGGAGGTCCTGTGGGCATGGTTGTCCTGTAGATAGAGTCACCCTAGGAGGAAGGATTTAATCCTGGGATTTGGAAATACCTGTCATGGGACACAAGTTGGAACCTCTCCCTCAAGTCCTACCTCTGGTCACCAGTTCCTGGCAACTTCTTCCTAGAGAGGAAGGGACCATCTGAGGTCAGGACAGAGAAGAGAGCCCTGTGCCCTTTCCAAGGCAGGATCCCCCCTCCTGCCTCCAGTGTCCTCATCGTGTGGGCACACCCAATGCAAAGGTACACATACCCAATCATGCACACACCTGTAAGAGGCAACATAGTGGGTGGGTAAACCACTGACTTGGCTGGGACTCCAAGTGCAGGAGATGTTCTCATAATCAGATGCTTGGCAGGAGACCACAGGACGCTCTGGGGGAGCTAGCAGCAGAGAGTGCAGCTGGAGACTGAGCTGCACTCCCCTCCCATCCCAGAGGGCCTACTCAAGTCCCAGATTCTCTCAGGAACCCCTTATCTTATCATTGAACTCACAGCCCAGCTTCAGGGTCACTGTGCCTCCAAGTTGACCATCCGGGGTATGGCAGAGGTAGGTGCCCTCATCTGTAAAGTCTGCCTGGGCCAGGACCAGTTCATGCCCCAGCCCAGAGTCAGGTCCCTGCAGCAGTGTTGGCTCCTTGTCCCGAAACCAATACACAGGGGTCCTGGAGGTGAGATGAGGTAATGACTGACAGAGAGAAGATTTAAAGTATAAGTCAGACCATGCCACTGTTTTCCCTAGCCTTCTAACTGCACTTGAAATAAAATCTCAGTTCTCTTCACTAGCTTACAAAGATCCTTCAATCTAGCCCTTCTTGTCCTTCATCAGCTCCCATCTTCCCCTCCCCTAGTGCATTCTGTCCACGTTGCTCTAGTTTCTGTTTCCCAGAAGTACTTGACTCACTCCTGTAATCTCAGCACACTCAGGAGGCTGAGGCAGGAAGATTGTGACTTTTAACGCCACCTTGGGCTCAGCCTGTACTATATAGCAAAACCTTATCAAAGGAGAAAGTGGAAGCAGGAGAGAAGGAGAAAGGGAAGAAAGGAAGACACAGAGAAGTACTCAGTCCATTCCCACATCAGGGCATTTATAGTTACAAATTTGTGCATGCCTGCATCTTTGACCTCCAGAAAGCAGCTTTAATGTCACCTCCTCAGAGAGACCTCCTTGATTGTGAATAAAAAGTAACCATGCTCTTCAACAGAACCTAGGATTTTCTGCACTCCAAGCATTACTGTCTATCAAGATTCATGTTTGTTAATTGTCCGTCTTCCCCAGTAAGAGGTAAATACCAAGGCCAGGCACTTAACAGGGGCTTGATGCATACTAGTTGGATACTGTGTTGAACAGGGATGGTTAGTGGGTGAGGCTAAATGCAAGGATTACAGTCAGAAGGGGCAAGGGCAGGAGGGCAAATGAGGATAAGCAGTGTCAAAAAGTAGGTTGAGGCACTTACCCAGCACTCACTCCTGGGCAACACAGCATCACTGGCCTGCCAGGCTGCCCATATTGGACCCCTGTGGAGGGCACTTCTGAGGTAAGGCTCTTTCTTTACCCCCACCTCCACTTTGCAACAATGACAGGATGAGGAGCAGACTATTAAACCCCAGGCAGTGTTACTGGGTAAAAGCATCAGATTATAATCTGGAGACAGATCAGAAGACAGGTTAAAAGAAAGACCAGGTTGTCAGGGATTAAGAGGAAAGAGGGACTGCAATTAGGCATGAGAAGGGGCCACAGTAATTGTGGTGAATCCCAGGTCAGAGCTGGAGATCACATAGTGTTTGTTCTTCTCACCTGGGGGGCCCCAGGCCTGGGGGCAGGGGGAGCAGGCAGAAACCAGGGCTATAGCTACAGCCAGCAGGACCCTGCTCAGCCCTGAACAGCTGCTGTTCATCTGTGGGGAGAGAGGCTGGGTCAGGGGTCCGCTATGGGGAGAGAGGCAAGGTCAGTGGTCCTCTATCCCTGAGATAAAAGGCTAAAGCCTTGCTCCCCTGCTCCAAAACTGGGGGTCCTACGAAAAACAACGAGGCATTGAGTGGAATAACACTATCAGAAATTATTAGGGGATGGACCAGAGGCCCCCTTTCCCAAATATATTTAGTGTTGTACACATGTTTATGTGCGCAGGCATACACAAGCACAAACACAAATGCACACACACACACTCCACACCCTCCATCTCAGTCCTGGGCTTAGGGCCCAGAACAAAAGCCGGAGGCAACAAACAGTGCCAGCAACCATCCCCCTCCACTGCCCTTGGCGCCCACCCCTGGCACCAAGGGCTGGCACTGGCTCAGCCACTCCCATTAACCCTTCCAATCTGGCTGCTGGGAATTCTGGCATTCACTCCCACCTGTCCACAGCTAATCACCACCTCAGACTAACCTTGGGCAAACCATAGCACATGAGTGGAGAATCACCATGGTGGGTCTGAACCCACCCTATAATCCCACCATGAGGCCTAGTCTGCTTTGGCTGCCATGCCTCTGGCCTGGGCCTGGCTCCTTCCTTGCACTGGCTACTTGGCCCACTCAACTGTGCCTGGCTTAAAATCTGCCTGTAGAGCTGGATGGGGCTAGGGTGCAGACTGGGGCTACAGAGTTAAGCAGATCCAGATGCCCTGGCTGCTGCTAGAGGCTGGGGCTGGGCAAGGAGCCAACAGATGGAGATGGAGACAGAGTGGCGGAGAGGAGAAGAAAGCCAGGAGCCTGCAGGAACTCAGGCCTGGTGTGAGGGCCACAGCAGCAAGAGAAGAGATCACTCAGTGACCAGGACCAGGAAGTGACAGGGGCTCAGTAAGAAAAAGGCTGGGCTAGGAGCCATGGGAACTCAAAAGTCTGAGAAGCAGATAAGGGAAGGTGAGGTAAGGAGCTGGATTAGGTATACAGGAGGAAAGCAGTGGAGCAGAAGCAAATGAAGTGAGTGTGAGTGAAAATGCCAGAAGAGGAAGAGCACAGCCCCCTCCAGAGTGGACCTAGACCAGAGCAGCGGTCTCCACTGGTCCACATGTCTATCTTGGTCTTGCTGCCTCACCCTGGCTCCCCAGTCACATTACATGGTTCAGCCCCACCCTACCTTGTTGATCCGAGTGGCTGAGTGTCCATGGTTTCCAAGGCTTCCTGCCACTTCTTCCCACCAGCTTCAGCACCAAGCTTCTGCCCCACTCAGTTCTGGGACCCTAGAACCATCCTCTTCTTGCCTTCTCAGCCCCACCCCCTTTGGGCCTTGGAGCTCAGCCACCCTTAACCAGGCCCCCCTCGGCCTTCCTTCTCCTTCCCCTCTTTCCCTCCTTCTTTCTCCTCCCTTACCACCCGAGGCCCTGGGAAGGAAAGAGGCTTAGGACAGAAAGAAAGCCACAGATAAGTCAGGGCCAGCAAGAGGGAGAAAAGCGTTGCTTATGCTTACATTCCTGTCAGAAATTTCTTGTGTTTTCATAGAGCCACATTCACACATGGACTCACTAGGTACAGTTAACAAAAGGACACTCCACTGACCACATGGACACAATAAAACAAAGAAAATATACAAATTTGTGCCCCTACTTTTTTACTCCCCAACAAATGCCACAGGGCCCAGCTGCCTGTTTCTAGGGTTCAGAGAAGCCCCAGGTTGGCTAATACTAGAAAAAGCCAGAGTCTGGTCACCCCTCCCCTGGAAGTTCCGGCCATTTCTTACCTCCCCTTCCACCCCTTTGAGCCCCAGCACCAGGAAATGCCTTTGGTCCCTCGGTGCCAGGTACACAAAACCGACACTTACCCCTAGACTAATACTCTCAGATACAGTTACACAGAAACACTCAGACACCCTCACCTTGACTCAGATATATTTGTACATAACTGTATACTCAGTCACAGTCACACACACAGACAGTCTGATCCCTCCAGGGTATGGGGGTCACATCACTCCTTAAAGGCAAATGCCTCCTCATCTGCGATGGCAGATCAGTATCTCCTCACTGTTAAGGAATCCCATGTGGCCAAACAGGGTAGAGGTTGTCAGGCATAGGACACTGGTACACACCTGTAATCCTAGGTTGAGGCAGAAGGATTGCAGCGAGTTCAAGACCAGGCTGGGCTACATAGCAAAACCCTGTTTCAAAAAACAAAGACAAAAGAAGACAGATATGAAGATACTTGAAAGATAAAATTGTGGAGAGACTTGGAGACATATCCCCAGGAAGACAGCCATAGGGAGAGAAAGAGAAATACAAGGAAACTGAGTCAGAGAGGAGAAACTGCAAATAAGGAGCAGCAGACCTTCACTTTTCTGGCCTCTCTCTCTCTCTCTCTCTCTCTCTCTCTCTCTCTCTCTCTTACACACACACACACACACACACTGACTACACCTCCAGCCCTCATGAACTCTTGGGCAAAAGAAGGGCAAGCCATGGGTGTTGAGGACAGGTCTATCCACAGTGCAGCTAAGTAAAAGGTTGGGGACATTGGTTATCAATATACAAACAGCTACACTCCCACTCAGTCTACATTAGGGCACAGGACACAGTCACAAGTCTCTCTTGCTCAGTTACTGCTGAAATCATACATTGGCAGAGAGAGCCACTCGCACACTGACAGACACAACTGTAAACCTCTCACTCTCTCTGGCTCTCTGTCTGTCTGTCTCTCTCTCCCCCTCTGTCTCTGTCTGTCTGTCTGTCTGTCTGTCT